GTGTTAGGAAGCCTAGAGATTGAAAGGGCTGAATGACAAAATGCCCTCTTTTTAACCTAGCAGACCTGCCATCACTGAATCCTAGAGTTGCCCTAGTGTAATTCAAGTGAGCATCTCATTGGCAGATGGGCACCAGTGGCAGCATTACAGAAGGACATATTTGCAGTCTCTTTATTCCCTAATTCCAATAAGTTTGTTGCTTTTAGAACACTCTTCCTCCCCACTCTTGTTTTAAATGCACCACAGGAAAAGTGTAAATCATTGAGCTATATAAACACTAAGTGACACTTGGAGAAATCAATACCCTTTAATTTTTTAATTTTTTTAATTTTTTATTCTTTTATCAATACCCTTTTAGATTAACAGAATCATTTCTAAATCTTTTGGTTTGTTTTCCTTCAGTATGGGAAGTTATATAATACTCAATCGACAACAGCGAGTGTCCGTATGTGGGCGCATAGCTTGAATACGTTACGCATCCTCCACGGTCTTTCTGTAGATTCTCCGGCTCCCGTGGTACATTGGTCTCCCCAACCCTGCTGCAGACTTAGGAATGCTGACCTAATGATGTGAATGCTGGTTGCCATGGAGCAGGAATATAAATTTTCTGGAGAGGCTACCATGAAACCATGAAGCGCAAGCCTTAGTCTATGTAGAGGTCTTGCTGGATAATTTTTTGTTTCCTTATCAACCTTTGTTTGTTTTCTTTACTTTTGATGACTATGACTCATGTTCAAAGTCACTGCGTACAGCTTAGGGTGCCGTGTAGGAATGAATTTTCTCTGTTGCTTGTGGAATCCTAAACTCAGACTTTTGAAGCAAAGTACTTAGCTTTACTTAACATCCCATCCACCAAAAGACAGGGATGAATAGGTAAACCCATCATTAGATGAACAGAAACATTCTAGGGATCTGTTAAGGAACCTGTATTTACAGGACCCAAAATGCATTTAACAAAATCCAGGTTTTGGTTGGAAATCCAGGTTAAATCCAACAGTTTTATCAAAAAGATTACTTCAAAATATTTCCTAAATAGGCCCTTCCCTTGCCTGTAATGAACTCCCTTAAATTTTGCTTCGTGTGTATTATGACTTTAAGAGAGTATTTACATTTTGTCTATTGAAATCACCTTTCCTTCTTTCTCACAACTTACATAGCTGTTGGGTTTGTGGTTTTTTTTTGTTTGTTTGTTTTTTATGGGTTTTTGGTTTGTTTTTTTGTTTCTTTTTGTTGTTGTTGTTGTTTTTTCCAGAAGAATGAGTGTGATGTATGCTGGGAGGATGGTTTTGTGTTCTGTGTGTCTTTTGGGTTTAGAGAAATTAATACGAACTTGGTTTTGGTTGTTTTGTTGGACTATTGAGGAAGACAATTTAAACATGTAGGATAAAATTCCTATTTTCTTTTTTTTTTTAATTCCTATTTTCATACCAAAATTTGTACTTGTGTTTTATAAAGATAATTATAATGGGCGTGCATAAATGATGATGGAAACTTAAGGCAATAGTATTGGATATAGCAAAAAGAGGAAAATTTTTAGAACTTTTGGTTAAGAAGTCAAATGAATTGTTTGTTATTTAAAACTGCCATTTGATGGATGAAAGACTTTTCTGCTAAAGGAAATAAAGATGCTTAGCCCTGGGAGGCAAGCAATGATGAAGATCCCTATCTGTGTGTATCTGTGTGCACTGAAGTGTTTTGGTGTAAATAATGTCCCGCAAAGGACTTTTCTTATGAACAAGTCTGGCAATAATTTAGTCTTACTAAATGTAGATGCCTATTATTCTAATGAAGAGCTAATTACACAACTAAAAATATAGTTTTCTTCCTTAACTATTATTTTCCCTTTTTTAAACAAGGCATCTGCTTCCCAACAAACCTAATCAGATCACTCATGATCTGCAATGAAATAGAAAACTTTCCTGAGGTGTAATACCTGAAGCACGCAGCCGGCTTCTGAAGTTTGTCTTTAGTTACAACTTTTCACAAGAAAGCAAGCAAGGCTTTCAACCCCATAATAAAACTCTTGACCATATAAACATCAGGTGTTATGGCTACGACAGATGCGTTTTCATAGCTATAAGGGAAAGTAATCAGGAGAACAGACGGAAAGTTCAGTGTGACAAAGAACTAGATATAGTTTCATTTTTTAATCTGTTAGAGAAACATTAAAACAGTGGAAGTGGAGCTGCTGCTCAGAATGAACTTCCAGACATGCTCGATGCTTTCTGAAGATAGAAGAGTTTTCTAATTGCATTCTTCATGTCCTTGTTTCTCAGACTATAAATGATGGGGTTGAAGAATGGAGCAAGGACAGTAAACATCAGTGCAATGGCTGTGTCCAAAGCTGGGGGGTAGGTGGCATTGAAACGCAAGTACATGAGGGACACACTGCCAAAGAAAATCAGGAAGACAGTGAGATGGCCCCCACAGGTAGAAAAGCCTTCTGCCGACCCTCAGCAGAGGGGATCCTCAGGATCACAGAGACGATTCTGATGTAGGATAGGGCAATGATTAGGATGGTGATGATGATGGCCACAGCGTGGATCACATCTTCAACCAGAATCACGGACGTGTCTGTACAGGCCAGCCTCAGCACTGGCACCAAGTCACAGAAGATCTGATGGATTTGGTTGGGCCCACAGAAGGGCAGTGTGGAAATCGTTACAATCTCAGGAAGTAGGATGAGGAAGCCAAAGATGCAGGAGCCTGCAGACAGCTGAGCACACAGCCGAAGGGTCATGATCATCTGGTAGCGGAGAGGGTTGCAGATGGCCACGTACCTGTGGCCATAGTGATCAGCAAGATCCCCTCTGAATTCCCAAGGGAATGGAAGAAGTACATCTGCAGGAGGCAGCCGGTCATGGAGATGGTCCTCTTCTCACTGACCAGGTTGGAGAGCATCTTGGGGATGGTGGCTGTGGTGTACCAGACCTCCAGGAAGGAGAAGGTGCTGATGAAGTTGTACATGGGGTTGTGGAGGCGGGCGTCCATCCTGACCGCAAAGAAGATCAATAGATTCCCAACGACAACAAAGGCGTAGATGAAGAGTAAGGGGAAGAAGTACAGGAGGCCACCATCCTGGAGCTGGGGGAAGCCAGTGAAGACAAATTCCGTCACTGCTGACAGGTTTGCACCCTCCATGTGCCCAGCAGAGCTCCCTGTGAATGCAGGAGAAGGCACATACCAGCTCACGGGGAGGAGGAGAAGAAAGGATGATGTACAGCTAAATAACTCCAATGCATAACAGGATAGAACTGGAAGTTTTTATTTTTTCCTGATGCCACATGCTTGTGCATATTGATTAATATTTGACATGTTTTCTAACTCCTTCAGAGGCACAATCACAGAAACAGGTGTCTCCAAGTGTTTTTGATAGTCCAGCTGTGTTCAGCTTCACCTGTAATACAACTATGGGAATTTTGTAAGTTATGCCCAATTACTATATTATGATCTAATAATTCAAAATATATGCGTATATAATAATGAATTTTAGAAGTAAGGGACAAGAATAAAAATAAACACAATAGAAATTGTATTATTTTTTCTTTCTACCCCAATGAACATTCTTGGATATTCTTCCTTGGAGCTTTCTATTCTAAGGGATTGGGATGTAGACCAGTAGTCTACACTGAAACCCCAATCGAGTCTCTTACTATCTACCCGTCTTTTGGCAAATTACCTAATCTTTTAGGCTCAAGTACTCATTTGCAGAATGAGATTACAATAGTACCTATCTAATAGGGAATCTATAGGATTAAGTAAATATATTCACAGGACTTAATCACTGCTTAACAGGCAGCTTCTTGGACAGGTGGTAAATTCCAACTCCCCACACCTTTCGTTCTCCTACAGCACGGCTGCGCGCTCACTCCCCCACTTCTGCACTGAAGCTCTTCCAACCAAGCTCAGCGTCACCCTGCCTGCCCACGTTAATGGAGACTCTGTTGTCCTCTGGCTCTGGACACAGTGCATCCCTTTACCTGAGGCTTTCCTCCTCCACTTCTATGATTCCATCCCTAAGAGTAAGGGGCATGAATAAAAATAAACAGAAGTTACATTACATATTCCCAATGGCTCTCAGAAGTGGTTTTGGTTTTGTCTTTTTCTTTTGGTTCACTTATTTTCATTCATTCTATCATCCTTACTCTTCTCTTCTCTCTCCCACTAACTGTTCTCCAAGTGCTCACTTCCTGCATCCACTCTGTTCTCAATAATTCTATTTGCTCCTGTGGTGATCTCATCCACTGAGAAGATCTCAATTACTACTACTTGCAGATGTTTTTCTCTAGCCAACTGTCTTTCATGAGCTCTAAGCCCACACATCTGACTCCGAACTTGCTCCGGCTTCTCCTCCTAGCATCCCCAGTACTGTTCCCCAGAGTGCCCTCATGCATACTGCTTTGCAGGATCACCATAGGTCCTGTGTGTATCATGTCCTCGGACTGTAGGATAGCCATTCCTCCTCTGCTTACAAAAAATAATGCTTAATACTGGTCATGTTTCTGCATGCTCCCCACCCCTTATAAACCCCCTGACTTAGCTTTTCTATGCCTTTAATTCCTCTCTTGGAAGATGGAGAAAATATTAATACTGGCACATAATGTTCAAAGAACGGGAGACCCTGTATAATAGCAATAACAGCATTCTAGAGTGTGGTGGGGTATCAAGTCACTTACTGCACAAGCAATGCCCAAAGCACTAGCTATACTTCCTACCTAATGCTCTAAAGAGGTAAGATTATTCCCACTTTACAGATGAAAAGACATGAGCACAGACAGATGAAACACTTGGCCCAGGGAATACCAGCTGAAGTCAGAACGTAAATCCATGCTCTGTAACCTCTAGTGATGCGTTTCAACCCAGACACTTGGCTGCCTCTACTGATTTGTGGGACATCCTTTCAATACCTTAAATAGTGTCAGGAATATAGTAAACACTCAAGAATGTTGGGCACTATGACCCTGGGGTTTCTGTCATGTATGTATCATGTTTGATAATGATTACCGATTACTTGTTTTGTCTTCTTTAAACAGGGTTCCTCCTTCAGGGCGGTAAACTAAAAGAGGGTTGGCATGCAAAAGATGGTTGGTGTGAAGTAAATTAACCTGGGGCCAAGCTACTGGGTGCAGTGATCATTTAGCCCACAAGACAGCCATGGACAGGGAACAAAGAAAATTAAGGACTGTTTGGAAAGGGAAGTATGACAATCCACTTTGAGTAAAAGAGTCCTAATCAAGTCTGGAAAAAATGACCTCTCAAAAGAGTATAAAAGAGTATCCGGCTTCACATACATGTGTACCCAGCACAGTCTCCCCCATATGTGCCTTTGCACCTTAGCAACATTTGAAGCTTTTGAATCTTCAGGTTATGATGTTCTTATTCTTACACATGGTGAGTGAATTCTTTCTCGAGACTTGGCCTTCTGCACTCACCTCTACCAAAGACCACAGGGACTCCTCTGTCTGTCTGGGTCTCTGCATCCTTGATATCCCTCCAGCCCTCCACAGGGGGACTTACAGCTACTTTCACAGATATCCTAGGGAATAGCAAGGAGGGAAGTGGGCGCCATAGGGGATTCCTGCCTTGCACCACAGTGGAAAGGATCACTTTCCCTCATGGGGTTAATTAGCAGAAAGATCCTCACCGTACTCTTCTCTCATTAGATTTTAGGATCAACGTATTTTTTTTCCTATTTGTACTTATCACTCCGAACATTGCAAACTACTTTCTCCAGCAAAGTGCTTATTGCCCCAAGTATGTGTGTCTACCAGGACGCCACACAAAGAGCACGTTTGTGGCAGTGTTGCTCTTCTTACATGGACACACGTGCGGAAAGTCTCAAAAGAAATGTACTGACACCAGAAAAACTTGAGAAAATATTTAACAGAAAATAAGATTTTCATAACAGTCATGTCATTGGGATTTTGTGCCAATACTGAAGTGTGAGGACAATGTCATTTTTTCTCATGCCACAAATGTATGTATCTATCTTACCCTAAAAAATTCACATTGGTCCTACTCACCTCTCCATTGAAAAAGTCTCACAGGATTTTTTCTGTACTCCATGTGCTCAATACACTGCTCTGTTGAAAACTCAAAGTATTTTTCTTCCTTCTCCTCCTATCCTTCTTCTTTTTCTCCTTCTCCGCTGTGTCTTCCTTCTTCTTCTTCTTCTTCTCTTCCTCCTCATCTCTTCGTCTTCCCCCTCTTCCTCTTTCTTCTTCTTCTTCTTCTTCTTCTTCTTCTTCTTCTTCTTCTTCTTCTTCTTCCTTCTTCTTCTTTCTTCTTCTTCTTCTTCTTCTTCTTCTTCTTCTTCTTCTTCTTCCTTCTTCTTCTTCTTTCTTCTTCTTCTTTCTTCTTCTTCTTCTTCTTCTTCTTCTTCTTCTTCTTCTTCTTCCTCCTCTTCTTCTCTTTTTCTTCATCTAGTTGTTTTTATCATGTAATCTTCTTGAAAATATGTATCAGACTTTGGATGGGAAGACATGCTTTCTTTCTCTCTTGAGTTTTGTCTAATATGTCTTCCTGTGACTTGGGGGCCTATTTTCCTTGTCTAACTTCTTATAATATTTTTTCTTGAAATTAAAAAATAGTAAGCCATGGGAATAAAAGACATAGCATAGGGAACATAGTCAATGGTGCTGTAATAGTGTTGCATGGTGACAGATGGTGGCAACATTTGTGGGGAGCACAGCATGATATACAAAGAAGTTGAACCACTATATTGTACGCCTGAAACTACTATAATATTGTGTATCAATTATACTCAAGCTAAAGAAGAATATCACATGAGGGGATCTGAAAAAAATTTTAATTGGCAAAATTGCATTTCCAATGATTTAACACAGTGTGGAAAAGTCTATTTCATTTTTAACGACTTTATTGAGATATAATTTGTATACAAAGAACATATTTAACGTGTACAGTGTGATGAGTATGAACATATACAAACACCATATACAATCACCATAGTGATGGTAATAGGTGTATCCAACGCCTCCCAGGGTTGCTTCATGTTTAAGGTAACAAATATGAACTTTAACCTCTTCAATAGATCTTACCACTATATTTTGCAATCTGTAGTTGTTACTAATGCCTTTGGAATAATAATAAGGATAATATAATTAATAATAATAATAATAATAATACTTATATAGTAACAATAAAATTAATGTTTACAAGATCTATTTTAATGATTTAAACATTATATTTCCTTTCTATTATCTATCCATCTATGCTAGTCAAAACAAAAAGTCCATGATATGTGAAATGTGTATAAATAAACATGTACATGGGGAGATGGGAATAAATAGAAACTATCAGTGTAACATTGAATTAGTTATATGTTAATTTTATGATTTAGTATGTCAGAGTAACATCTAAAGTGAGAGGTGCCTAAGAACTAGTATCAACTTGCAGATGCATTAAACACTTTCTGAAGGCAGAGAAGCTTCTTTTTTTAAAAGAAAAAAAAGATTATATCTACTTATTTGAGAGAGAGAGAGAACCCAAATGGGAGTAGAGGAGGGGCAAAAGGAGATGAAGAAACAGGCTTCTTGCCCAGCAGGGAGGCTCAATCCCAGGACCCTGAGATCATGACCTGAGCCAAAGTCAGACACTTAACCAACTAAGCCACCCAGGTGATCCAGGAAAGAGAAGCTTCTTAATAGCAATCTTCATATCCTTGTTTCTCAAGCTATAGATGATAGGGTTGAAAAAGGGAGCAAGAACGGCAAACATCACTGCAATGACTGTGTCCAAAGTTGGTGGGAAAGGGGCAGAGAAACGCAGGTACATGAGGGAGACACTGCCATAGAACATCAGAAAGACACCAAGATGAGATGCACAGGTAGAAAAGGCCTTCTGGCGGCCTTCAACAGAAGGGATCCTCAGGATCACAGTGATGATTCCGATATAAGAGAGAGCAATGATCAGTACAGCGATGATGATGGCCACAGCATGGATCACATCCTCAATCAGAATCATGGACGTGTCTGTACAGGCCAAGCGTAGCACAGGTTCAAAGTCACAGAATATCTGATGGATTTGGTTGGGCCCACAGAAAGGCAGTGTGGAAATCCATGCAATCTCTGGGAGTAACACAAGAAAGCCAAAGATGCAAGAGCCCGCAGAGAGTTGAGCACACAGCCGGGGGGTCATAATGGTTGGGTAGCGGAGAGGGTTGCAGATAGCAACGTACCTGTCAATGGCCATGGTGGTTAACAAAATCCCCTCTGAATTTCCAAGCGAATGGAAGAAGTACATCTGCAGGAGGCAGCCAGTCATGGAGATGGTCCTCTTCTCACTGACCAGGTTGGAGAGCATCTTGGGGATGGTGGCTGTGGTGTACCAGACCTCCAGGAAGGAGAAGGTGCTGATGAAATTGTACATGGGATTGTGGAGGTGGGCATCCATCCTGACTGCAAAAAATACAGTGAGATTCCCAACAATGATAAATGTGTAGATGATGAACAAAGGAATGAAGAGGAGAAGGCTACCATCTTCAAACTTGGGGAAGCCAGAGAAGAGAAACTCTGTCACCATAGAAGTTTGGTTAGCTCCTACCATGGTCTCAATGGCCTTATTTTTATGGGTAGAAAGACACAGCTCACTCCCTAGATGAAATATAAAGAGTTAGATCTCTTGGCTCATGAAAGAGTCAAAGAAAGAAATGCTTTAGGTAGATGATTTAACTCCATCACTGTTGGGTTAATTAAGCAGATATCCATTTAGTGTCCATTATGGGCCAAGCACAACTATAGGTTTATTGAATTCAGTAATGAAGAAAGTACTCTGTTTTCATGGAGCTTATATTCCAACAAAGAAGACAAATAGTAGTAAACAAGCTATTAATAATGTCACGTTTAAAAACTATACCAACTAAAATAAAGTAGGATATTAAGGATACTAATAATCATTGATTTTTATAAGAATTCTCCAAGTCATTTTGAATCCATACCAGATAAATTCTCTAATGTTTCCTGACTATGGATTAGACAATTACAATTTTTAGTTTCCTTTCTACATAGTTACTGTAAAGTTGTATTCTGCATTTTCTGGAAAATCCCCAGTTTTTAGTATTATGTTCCTTTTCCAGACCAGAGAAGAGTATGGTTAGAGAAGAAGGTAAGGTTTGTAGGCAAATCTATCAAGCCAAAGCTATGGTAGGAAACTATTCCCAGGATCAGAAAAGATAGAACTAGTGGAAACTGGTCAGCACAGAGGGAAGGGACATGTGAGAAACTGCACTTTAGTGGGTTCTGGAAGAACAAAGAAAGTCCGGTGGGTGAACTGGGAGTTCTCTCTTTAGAACCTAGTTCTTGAAATCTTTCAATCAGGCTTCTAAATGTCAGTGCATTAGAGATATTGGAAAGAAGCCAAGAATCTTAATGAAATAGCTAAGTGTCTCCACACAGATCATTTATACCTTGATGAAGACCATCAAGGAATGAGAAAGTGAAGGCCAAAATGTGAGAGTCCAACACAATTTGGGTCCCTTGAAAGTGACATGAAGCATGAAGAGGTCTCTAAAGGTAGTCCATGGAAACTCATCAGGTGCATCAGGATCTAGTCCCCTGACAGCTCAGAAACCTGATCTAACAGAGAAGAATCAGTTAAAGAGAAATGTTGAGAACACCAAGGAATCTGAAAGATAAGTTCTCTTTGGAAATAATGTAGAGCCATGTAAAAATGAGCTCCTCATATGATTAAATTAGATCACTTGATTATGCTTTATGCCAATATTCCCTGGAAAACACAGTCAAATATTTCCCCTGAGCTTATTCTATTAGAAAATTACTTATAAGCAGAATTGATGTAAAGTCTATAACTTTATTGAAGAATGGCATTTGAAATTCCAAGTTAACATGAGACATTTAAAATATAAATGGAGACAAAGAAAAATATTTGACTCATTCTGAGATTTTTCAGAGATCTCATTACAAAACTGAATATATATCTTGAGAAAGTCCTTTTAAGAACTGCTTTATATAGACTAAATTTTGTAAACAGCAGTTCATCAGCTTCTAGCAAAACAAGTGCCCAAAAAGTATTAAGAAATATTGATTATTACATGTATACATGTAAACCCTTCAGGTTTTCATAGAATAAGATTATTGTAAATGTCATTATACAGATATCAATTGTCATTAATTTTTCTGCTGGCTATAGGACATTTGTTTCATGAATATGCATATAAATGAATGTATACACTATACGTTATATATAATACAGAGATTCATTCAATGCAATCTCAATTAATATCCAGGTAGGGGTTTTTTAATAGATATTAAGAAGCTAGTTCTAAAATAAATATATTAAAAGATAATGGACTAGGCAAAGCATCTTGAAAAAAGAGAACAGATTTGGAGGATAGAACTGCTGATATACATTCCCAGATTCACTGTAACGCTAAAAAAAGTCAAGACACATTGATCAATAGAGCCAAGTAGAGTACAAAAATAGACACTCGTATATACGGCCAAGCAATTCAACAGAGAGAAAACAGTATTTTTGGCAAATGACACCAGGAAAACTGGAAACAAATGTGTTTTTAAAAAATCTTGTATCATACATGAGAATTCACACAAAATGGATCATAGACCTAAATGTAAAACCAAAACGATAAAAGATCTCCCAGGAAATAGAAAACATCTTCATGACCTTCAGTTCAACAAAAATGTATATGCTATGGCATCAAAAGCACAGTATGTAAAAGAAAAAACTGCTAAATTGAACTTCACCGATTTTGATTGCTCTGCAAATTTCACTGTTAAGAGAATGAAAAGAGAAGCGATTCTGGGAGAAAATGTTTGTGATTGCGTATCCAGTAAAAGATACCTCCAGAATACACGCAAACTCAAAAACCATGATAAGGTACATCAGCATAATGCATCTATGAGAACAATCACATTTTTTTTTTTTTACAAAACAGCTGGCGATGCCAAGTGCTCGTGAGAATATGCAGCAACTTGATGTTTCCTATAGTGCTGGCGGGCATATTTACCCAAAAGAAGTGAAAGTGTATATCACTAAATTCTACACCTGAAATCAATTTTACCATATACATTCCTAAGTAGAATTTAAATAAAAACTTGGGGGAAAAAATGAAAGTTTATGATCACACCAAAACCTGTAAACAAATATTTATAGTGGTGGCTTTATTTATAAAACTGTAAACAGCCCAAATGGCCACCAGCTGGTAAATGGATCCATGAACTTGGTACATCCATGTAACGAACTATCACTCAATAGTGAAAGTGAACAGTATACACAGAAGGCGGGTTAATCTCAAATGCATTGTGTTAAGAGAAAGAAGCCAAAGGCTACATGGTGTAAGATTCCATTTATAGGACAGTTGTGGACGGAATGTTTTTACTTCCTGCTGCTCACATCCCCACGTTGAAACCTTACCTCCCAATATGATGGCTCTAGGAGATGGGGCTTTGGGGAGCTGAGCTGATAAGAATTAGATGAGCTCATGGGTGGCATTAGTACCCTTCTAAGAGTCTGGAGAGAACTTGCTCCTCTCTGTCATCTGCCACATGGGGATACAGAGAGAAGCAGTCATCTACAAACCACACACCAAGTCTTCCTGACCTGGACCTCAGGCTCCCAGGCTGCAAAAGTGCCAGATATAAATGTATGTTGTTTAAGCCACTCTGTCCATCATAATTCTCTTCTAGCAGACTGAGTGAACGAAGATAGAAACCCATACCAAGAAGTAAGGGTACTACTCTAATGAATACCTAAAAATGTGGAAGCAGCCTTGGAACTGGGCAATAGGCAGAGGCTGGAAGAGTTTAAGAGAAAGCATTTTGTGTCTAAGAAATGCTCAGTCCCAGGTGGATGGAATGTTGTAGTGACTCACATCTGTAGGACGATCATCAATAGTAATTTTGGCTCATCACTCTACGCTCGCCAAACCCAACACCAAGGAGATCAGGAGAGCGGAGCTGGCCTGAGGAAGCCCTTTGGAAAAGACTTGCCCTTCTTGGTCTTCTGGACCCTGTAAAGCTTAGAACAGGTGAGTGGAGGTGCTTGGAGAAACCCAGGAAAGGATGAGGACCAGGAATGTTAGGCTGGGCCAAGACCCAAGGGGCTGGAATCAGCTTGTGGTTGAGAAAGGGAAGACATTTAAGTTTATGCAAAAGTTTTTGAATAAAGGACTTAAGAGTCCAAGGCATAGGAATAAAATAATAAGGGAACAGACTATCTCTCCTATCTACCCTCCACCTCTAAAATATATACACACTAAGGAGTCTGGCTGAAAACCTCTATGATTTTCAGACTGATTGCAGGAGATTTCAATGGCTTTCCCTGGCAGGTCCCCCAGAAAAGTTGCCCCCTACCCCCCAGCACCTGGTTGCAGCTCATGTCCTGCAGCCTCTAAAAGAGTTGCAGCAAGGACTAGGGCTCTTCTGGCCTCTCCTGCCCTTTGCATGTCTCCAGTCACCCCAGCAAATGCACGCCTACATTGTTAGTTGCAGCCTTGGGCCAAAGTCCTCTTCTGAGGCTACTTTAGGGGATGAGGGAGAGAAACCCTGGTGTCATTTCTCCCTGCTCTAACTTTGTCCACTCTGTATCCTCCTCTCTATCTCAGGGTCCATGAAACTGCTGGAGACTTTGGTTCAGGGGTCCTTTGACAGTGAAATGACCCTCACGTCTGCACTGTTGCATCTGACCCTTGATCAGGGCTATTTCTCAGGGGATATGATGTGGGGGAGGGACAGGGGCTTTCTCTGCTTTCAGCCTTTTGCTCAGACTATCATAGTAAGTGATTCTCACAGTACGTGTTCGAAAGCTTCGTGGTTACATTTATTTTGGCTCAGGGTTGTTTTAATCCGCTACTCTGACATGTGGTAATTCAATTCTCTCTTAACTCAGCTGAACCCCTGACACACACAAGGAGATTCAGGGAAGGGGCAGAGCAGGTTCGTACTATCTCCATTTGCAAATCAGTGTAAAGATGTCTGCATCTTTTGGGGTATTTCAAACCCCAAAGCAGTCGGAGTTACTGTCTTACTGTGATTCTGGCATCTCTACTTATTTCCCCTAAGTGAGTGCTGTTAATCTTTTTAATAGAATCTGGGTGCTTATGTTTTAGCAAAATTGGTGTTATACTTTACAGAAATTAATGTGCCAATTCGAAGTTTATCCATTGGAGACTGGAAGGAGAGAAATGAGCTGACCCAGTCCCACCAGGAGAAAGGACGGTGAATATAAAAATTAGCCCCGGCAAGGGGTATAGACTGTGTTTAATTGGACCAATTGGATTCCAATTCCTTGGAATAAGATTTTCAGGAATCAGCTCCTTAGACGTATAGATGTATCTGACCCCTTTATTCATGATCTTATTTGGTTTATATTCACATGACTGGGAGCAGAGATCGGTATGTAAAGTGGTGTCCTCGTGGATCAGAATTAATTTAGAAAAATCCTGAGGCTGTGAAATCAGAGGACCAATATCATTGCTAGGGTACAAGTCTTATTATTCCATTATCACAGCACAGACAAAACAGAGCATCATCACTCATTTTTAATCCTACAAGTGTATCTCCTCTTCCAAG